TAATGATTTAATGTACATTATCTGGTAAAAAAAGTTCATTATTTTCCTTATAAGTGTACGTTAAAAGTCCTGTCAGGGATTCCCTGGTGGCGCAGTGGTTGAGAGTCTGCCTGCCGATGCAGGGGATGTGGGTCTGTGCCCCGGTCCTGGAAAATCCCACATGCTGCGGAGCGGCTGGGCGCGTGAGCCACGGCTGCTGAGCCTGCGTGTCTGGAGCCTGTGCTCCACAACAGGAGAGACCACAGCAGTGAGAGGCCCCCGTACCTCAAAAAAAAAAACCTCTTCAGTGGCCCAGCCACATTGTGTGCCAGCAGAGTAAAAAAAAAAAAAAAAAAAAAAAAAAAAATTGTCGAGCAGGACTGATGTCAGTCTTTTTGTAGCTGAATCTCAGAAGTGATATTCCATTATGTTTGCCATATCCTATTTGTTAGAAGCAAGTCATAGGTTCAGCCCATACCCAATGGGAGGGAATTACACAAGGGCATGAACCAGAAGGCGGGGATCATTGGGGACCATTTTAGAGTCTGCCAACCCCAAATGTGATGAATTGTATTTGTCTTTTTTGTTATTTAACTCCTCCACTTTCTCTACTTTCTCCTATTCCTTCACTCTGCATAGATGCATTAGCTAAAAAGTGTTATTTTTCCACTTCAGGAAAGCCAGAGGACTCCAGTAAGCCCTGAGAAAAACTAATTAAAATGTTCTATATTCTGAATAGCTTCAATGTAAAATTTCAGTGAGAAAGAGATAAATTCAGTGATCATACAGTCATCATAGATAGAACTCTGGACACAAATTTCATTAGCAGCTATCAAGTTCTTGGAATTAACACAACATTGTAAATCAACTATACTTCAATAAAAAATAAATTAAAAAAAAGAAAAATATTTTAGAAAAAAGGTCTTGGAGAAAACATTACTGGGCTCTGCCACCAACCACTAGTATCACGCTCAAGGAGAATTCTAGCCTGGATTGTCATGTCAGAAAAGTATGCATGGCTCAGGGAATGGTAGACTCTGTTGCCAGCTCTGCTGCATGAATCACCTGGGTAAGCTACTTACCCTCTTTGAGCTTTGGTTCCCTCATCCATAAAGTGGCTGTGATGGGTGCCTGCTCTGTCCACTGTCCCAGGAGTCTTGTCATTTCTTGCAATGATACATAGGGAGATTCAATAAATGTTTTGAAAAATTGTAAAGTGCTGATGAATGTGAGGCATTATTATCACTTTGTTCATCATTAGATCTAGGAATATTTTTTCTTATCAGCGGGCATTACATTTTACGAGCTCAGAAAGCATCATGGAAAGCCCCATTACTTTCTTTCTTTCTTTTTATAAATTTATTTTATTGAAGTGTAGTTGATTTACAATGTTGTGTTAATTTGTGCTGCACAGCAAAGTGATTTAGTTATACATATATACACATTATTTTTCATATTCTTTTCCATTATGGTTTAATCACAGCATATTGAATATAGTTCCCTGTGCTATACAGTAGCACCTTGTTGTTTATCCATACTATATATAATATATAGTTTACATCTGCTAATCCCAAACTCCCAATCCTCCCTCCAGCACCACCACCCCTCGCCCCCAACAACCGCAAGTCTGTTCTCTATGTCCGTGAGTCTGTTCCTGTTTCATAGATAAGTTCATTTGTGTTCTATTTTAGATTCCACATATAAGTGGTATCATATGGTATTTGTCTTTCTCTTTCTGCTTACTTCACTTAGTATGATAATCTCTAGGTCCATCTAACTTGCTGCAAATGGCATTATTTCATTCTTTTTATGGCTGAGTAGCATTCCATTGTATATATGTACCACATCTTCTTTATCTATTCATCTGTCGATGGACACCTAGGTTGTTTCCACGTCTTGGCTATTGTGAATAGTGTTGCTATGAACATAATAGTGCATTTATCTTTTTGAATTATAGTTTGTCCAGACCCATTACTTTCTAAATGGTGATTTCTTTCCAATCTTTATGGAATGAAATACTCTCCTAAAAGATTTCATGCTCTAGATATCCATTTCCTCCTTTCCCCTCCCCCACATGTACTCATACTCTTCCCACATTCTCAGTGAACTGGTGTTATGAATCCTTGTATTGTTGTTGGACAAATCCATGCCCATCAGAAATATAAACACAAAGACTGATATTTTTATAATCACAATAAAATTAGTTAAAAATAAAAGTAATCTATTATGAATGGTTTTCATACCTTTCAAATTTCACTTCTAGACATCTAAAAATTTTGTATTTAACCATTTGTTTGAATAATCCAAGGTTGATGAAAATCCTTAAGTTACAAGTCTCAAAACAGACTGATTTAGCTCTGTAGTTTGCTTTCTCCTTGTGTTCCAGAGCCATCCAAGTTAATTCCATGTGCCTGTGGTCAGTGAGACTCTGGAGGTTGTCTTGACTGAAATATGGGAGAAGTGTCCTGGGAAGAATTTTGAGAATCTTCTAGCGCAGTGTTCTCCACACTTCCTGGATCATGTATCCCATGAGTAAAAGCTATGTGAGCACACTCCCTCATAGATATAATTTTAAATTTATAAATTATATACATATCAATCTGTATTTATATACTATGCATATTATAAAAGATTTGCAGTCTATGGATAGAAAACAGTGAGATGAAATAAAATATTAAAAAAATCAAATTTAACACTACATTTATTTTTGGTACACCAAACCTTTTATCCTCAAATTATAGAGATTTATATTGATGTCTAGACAGTTGGTTTATAAATGCCTTGCAGATTAAACTGGCATCATACTATCATTTGCTAATATTGAAAAGTATAACATACACTTAGGGCTAGGTTCACTGTTTATAATAATGATGTATGTCCATATTTCAATTGATATTTTTGAAAATGTTTATTTTTTTTTGGCCTACATCTTGGCAGAACTGATTAGATCACCATTAATTTTGTCTCTTAGTGTAGCTGAAAAAGAGCTCCTTCAAGGAATAGAGGAAATATCACTCTGTGTTTTTTAAAAAAAATTATTCTTGCATTATAAATATTATAATCAATCCAAAGTTTCTTTTCAGGAGACTATTTCTTTTTTCCTTTTTAAAAAAATTTTTATTGAAATATAGTTGATTTACAATATTGTGTTAGTTTTAGGTGTACAGCAAAGTGATTCAGATACAAACACACACACACATACACACACGCACACACACACATATGTATTCTTTTTTAGATTCTTTCCCATTATAGGTTATTACAAAATATTGAGTATAGTTCCCTGTGCTATACAGTATGTCCTTGTTGTTTACTATTTTATATATATAAGTGTGTATATGTTATTCCCAAACTCCTAGTTCATGACCCCCCACTTTTCCCCTTTGGTAACCATAAGTTTGTTTTCTATGTCTGTGAGTATATTTCTGTGGTGTAAATAAGTTCATTTGTATCATTTTTCAGATTCCACAGGTAAGTGATATCATATGATATTTGTCTTTTCTCTGTCTGGCTTACTACACTTAGTGTGATAATTTCTAGGTTCATCCATGTTGTTGCAAATGGCATTATTTCATTCTTTGTTATGGCTGAGTAGTATTCCATTGTGTATATATACCACACCGTTCTTTGTTTTGAACAAATGCTTTTTATTTTTTAAATTAATTTTTATTGGAGTATAGTTGATTTACAATGCTGTGTTAGTTTTTTCTCCACAGCAAAGTGAATCAGTTATACATATACAGATACCCACTCTCTTTTAGATTCTTTTCCCATATAGGTCATTACAAAGTATAGAGTTCCCCGTGCTATACAGTAGGTTCTTATCAGTTATCTATTTTATATATAGTAGTGTGTATATGTCAATCCCAATCTCCCAATTTATCCCACCCCCTTTTTCCCCTTGGTAACTATAAGTTTCTTTTCTACATCTGTGACTCTATTTCTGTTTTGTAAAAAAGTTCATTTGTACCATTTTTTTAGATTCCACATATAAGCAATATCATATGATATTTGTCTTTCTCTGTCTGACTTACTTCACTCAATACGACAATCTCTAGATCCATCCATGTGGCTGCAAATGGCATTATTTTGTTCTTTTTTTATGGCTGAGTAATATTTCTTTTCAGAAAACTTTTAAAGCTATTGGTCCACTAGTTAAGTGTCAATTTAGTTAAACCAAATGATATAATATATAAATCTTCTTAACCACCCAAAGAAAACAGCAATATGTTGTGAAACTCAGACAACATAAGAGCAAACATGCTATTACTATCCCTCAAAGAGTAGAGTGCAGACTGAAATATCAACTGAGTGAGGGTAACTGTCTACTAAATATTAGTAAAGTGCAACTTCTTTTTTATTTTTAAAGATAGAAAAAAAAAATATATATATATATATATATTTATTTATTTATTTTCCACCCAGAGCTGTGTATACCCCAGTTTGGAGACCACTGTACTGGATCTCTTGGGGTTCATCCAAGTCCCTGGGGAGACCTGGGCCAGGATGGGTTATGCAGAGGGGGCACAAGAATGTAAACAGATACCCCTGCTACAACCAAAGAGCTCCAATTTCATTTATATTATAGTTTATACATTAAGCTTTCTAATAACTTTTCAAAAGAACAAATGATTACATAGCTAAGGCACATTTGAAACTTCCTTCTGGAGAAACCTAGAAGTCCATGACCCACAGTTCTGACAAATATTTGAAACTGAACACTGAATAGTAAAGTTGTAAAAATAGTCTTTTACTAAAGAGCTAAATATACCGGTTTTTTAAGTTCCTGGGTTTTATGTTTGTTTTATTTTTCTTACATGTAAAATCACAGCCTTAGAACTAAAAGAGAAAATACTTTTAGCCAAACATGCTATGAAAAGTTTTGAATGTAATTAAATGCTAAGTAAAGCATTAGTTACAAAATGCCTTAAAATTTTTTTCTTAACTGAGACATTAAAAAAAGTTAAAAGTTTTGAATATTTTGGAAACATCATATTAAAGCAAAGCTTAAAAAAGGATATGGTTCTTTCAATATTTCAGTGAGTTTAATCTTGACTTGTCTAGGGGCTTTAGAAATACCAGCTAGCTCATGCATCTTAAGATAATATAAAATCAGTGGACTCTGACCTCCAAATTTGAAGAGAACACGCTTAAACTCTGGGCCACTACTGCTATAATGGGACTGTAAGGGGTAGGAAAAAAAAATGAATCAATTATTACCTTTGTGTGTTTTTAAAGAACGGTAAATAAAATATAACTGCATTATAACCATAAATACAATTATTATTTGGTATATTAAAACAAATAAAGGGAAATTCTTCAAGGCATCTTAATTAAAGTAATTTACTAAAGTATGAGACTATGAGTATGTGCAGTAAGGCTCTGCTAGTCTTTTAGCATGAAGACAGGCCAATAGACATCATTCTATCTGAAGAATAGAAAGAGAAAAGAATGAGCAGAGCCCCAGAAAAAGGGGCAGGAAAAAATATGAAGAAATAATGACTGAAACTTTCCAAGTTTTATGAAAAACACATCCAAGAAGCTTAACTCCAAGTAGGATAAATTCACATCTAGATGCGTCATAGTCAAAGTGTTGAAAGACAAAGACAAAAAGAAAAATCTCAAAAGCAGCAAGAGAAAAACAACATATAAGAGAACCCCAATAAGGTTAACAAGGTGACTTCTCATCAGAACAAAGAGGCTAGAAGCCCATCACAGTGCTGATGAAAGAAACTTTGACCACGAATTCTGCGTCAAGGAAACAATCACCATAATTATAATTGCTCCAATATTCTACTATTGACTTGTGGGATGCAAGTATAGCAACTACTCATATATTAAGTCTTTCCTCAATTTTTATAATGCCTAGATGAGAGATTTATTGTTGATTCCACTTCTTGTGGGGAAGTAAGATTTTATTCTCATTTGTTTTTACTGATATGTAAAATTATCTTGTGTTTTGTTTGCTTATGGTCAATTTTTCATTGTACTCATTCATAGCTGCTCCAAAATTATTTCAAATAGTGGTAATATTGTAATCAAAAGCAGTTCTTTGATGGTGAAAACGATGTCAATATCAGCTGTTTTTTCTGTGATGTAAATCATTTACTTCACCATAGTCTCCCATGACAATTCACATCAGGTTATACCTAGTCTGATCTTAAAACTTGCATGCAAAACCGCACCAAGCATTTTCCTGGCTTTTGCCTGGTGTATTATAAGATAGAAACTCTATCTTACTGAATTTTTAGAAACAGACATTCCTGTTCTTTTTCTGCAGTTACCAGTTTTTAAACTAAGAAAACCACAGTACACAGATCCTTCTTCCTCTATGAGAAACTATGATTTTTTTTTAAGCATAGTTCAATCAGGCAAGAGCAGATTGAAAGCAGGGCTCCAGAATGAACGTAATACACAATTATTGTCTAATCAGCACAGAGTAGATTCCACATGTCTAAACAGCCCATGAATACAGTAGATTTTGGGGTCAACAACGTTCTACTTTTGACATATACAGAGCTTACTGTTAAAAGCGATTCCCAAATCTTTTCAGAGGCCTCCAAGGCAAGGCTTTATTAACCTATACTTATGCAGTTGTAATTCTGGACCTCTATACTTTTTCCACAGTAACAGTTTATCTTCTAAGATCAGGCCTGTTACCCCAGACTGTTGTAAACTTTTGGTCATCCAATATATTCATAATTCTTCCAGGTTTTATGACTTCTACATGGCTAATGAAAAATGGCAACCATATTTTTATCAAAGTTGTTGATAAAATATTGTGCATGAGACAGGGCCAATGATGCAGCAATATGGTGTACTACCAAAGACATATCTGCAATTTGCTTTCTATCTTTTAATCGTGATATCTGAAAAAAGTTATTGTCAGTTACAAATCCATCTGTCCATATTTCTTCAACTTGTAAACAAACTATTAAAGACCATTTTTAGTGCTTGCTGAAGATAAGATATACAATTTCTGTTACATTTCCTTGATTTCTAAATTTAGCAATCAAGGAAAAGTAATAGAATGCACTCCCCTTCCTCCCGCCCCCTGCAGTCAAGATGGTGCAATATTGCCATCTATCCCAAATGGACTCCTAGAGTTGCCAATTTCTATCCTAAGTACGGACATCCTTGGCAGCACTGTGAAGGTTGGAGGAGATTCTATATACCTGGATTATTAAAGACCAGGAAATATATGAATACTGACTTTCAGAAAGTGGTTTTTGTAATAGGCATAATTTAAAATTTAAAATAACGGTCAGACTTGACTAGATAATTCAGACAAAATTTTAACAAAAAAGACTGCAACAGATTTAAAACCCAATTGGCTAACAAGTTAAGAGATCAAATTCAGAAGTTCAAGCCAACGGTCTCATCAAATCTTGGCTAAAGCAACACAAGGTGGCAAATCCATAGGCTCTCTGTTTGGGAGGCACCTTCAAAAATGTGAAGAAAGCAAGTATTCAAGACTTAAGATCAACAGTACCTATATATGGTCATTTATTCCGGGACCATGGTTTAAGAGGTGGGGACAGGTCAACCACTGTTGAAAATGCCATTGAAGTTTTTTCTGCACTTTGATGCTTATTGAGATCAGAGCCATGTCTGTATGTCAACCCAAGGAGAAGCAGTGCCAGAAGTATGAGGAAAAGATAAACGTTATTCGTTTTCCTTAGAGATGACGATAGTTTCAGAAATAAATATGACTTTAATATTAAGATTAATCTCTCCAATAAATCTCTTCTGATTATTAATTTTTTCTAAAATATATATCAAGAGCATAATAACCAACATTGTCCATGTGAAACTGTTCAATTAATTATATTGGAAATTAAAGAAGGACACTTTTTATAATTATTATACTCCAAACCTTTGTTGGTAGTCCTGATAATCTTGATTCTTCCTTGGATGCGGGCATTGTATATCCTTCTGGATTCTTTAAAATTTTTGTCATATCGAAGTCTATATCTAAAACAGAAAATAAAATATTTTCTTAAATTCTTTCTTTCTTCACAAAAGGCATGATACCCCTTCTTTTTCCTAGCAATGCACCTTAAACATGCAGAGAGGTAAAAATGTATGAGAGAAGGTTAGGATATTGTTATAGCTTGCCCCAGTCAGAGGAAATGAATATTCCATCTCATTTTACCTAACAGGGCTTTAGAGTTTTCAAATTCATTCATGTACACTATTTCACATCATCCTCACAAACCATTTTATGAGCTAAGTAACATTTCCCACAACTTACAGATTAGAAAACTAAAGTTAAGGAAACTCTATGACTTTTTCTAAGAGTAAGTCTTGCTCTAAGGTGATAGTTGTTCACATCTATGAATCTAATAAAAACCACTGAATTGTATTCTTTAAATGGGTGAATTGTATGGTATATGAACTACATCAATAAAGCTGTAATTAAAAAAAAAAAAAACAGTACAGGAAGAGGATGCAGACCTAGGTCTTTTGCTTCTGATTTCAGAGCTCTTTCCATGACCCTCTAGTTAAATGCAATAGGAGGCTTAGGTCTCTGCATGCTAGAGTCTACCTTTTCCATATACTGAAACATACCCAGATAAGGAAAGACTTGGTAATTTTTCATTGCAACCAGTGTAAATATGCATGAGGCTACCCAGGGAGTATTGTCTTAAAGGAGAACTATATGATTTAATCAGCCATGTCAGTCAGCCTAAAAGCATATGCTAATTATTAAGGATATCTTAATGTAGAGCAGAGAAAACAGGTGAGCTGAGAAGTTTGTACTAGATTCTGGCACTGACAATTATTACATTACCAGGTAGACAAATCAGATCTACAGATTGTGATGTTGATGACAAAGCTAGAAGAGTTGAAGAAAGTCACTTGAATTGATTTTTGACATTACCCATTAAAAGATATTAGATACTAGCTTGAAATACTGGAGGCAAGTAGGCATTTATCTCTGGCAGAGATTAAAGAACTAGTTAGCAAGGAACCTGTATTCTAAAATTTTGAGTGGAACCAAAGTTAGATTAAGTTGGGAGTTAGAATGGGCAAGAGTAATGAACCATATAATTTCCCTACTTTAAAACTTGCTCAAAAGCATACAACCCATTACGGAGAAGAATCTGACAATATCTGCTAATAATACAGACATTTTTCTTTGACTCAGCAATCCCTCTCCTGAGAATATATTCTACACAATCTCCTACATAAACACAAAAAATATATGTACAGGTTTAATGATTATAGCATAATATGTAAAATTTAGAGATTATAAACAACCTGTGCATTTAGCAGTCAGGTACTGGTTGAAAAAACTATGGCACTCCTATTTGATGGAATACTACAAGCTGTTAAAAGCTGTTAAAAAAAAGATCTCCATACAGATGTGAAGATATCTTCAGCTCATATCATAAAGTGAGGAAAGCAAGTTGCAGAACAGTGAAGAGAGTATATTACTTGATTGAATGTATACAATATATAAAATATACTACTCAGTGTAAACGGGAAAGAATGTATACGATATACGACATTCAGTGTAAAAGGGAAAGAATAAGAATAAGGCAAATATCTATTGTATTTGCCTTCATTTGTATAAAGAAACACTGAAAAGGTAAATAAGAAATGGATAAAAATATTCCTTTTGGGAGGAATGATTAAAAATAAAACATACTCAATTTTGAATCATTCTTAAATACATATTTAGGTGCTATTACTTAACTTCTAGTCACTATGAACAGATATGTTACTAATGACAAAAGGACCTCTACATGTCTACCATACCCACAATAAAAGCCTTAGAAGATTGCTTGAACTTTGTTGTAAAATTACTGCCAACAGATTAATATCAGGCAAAGATTCTAGGCTTGGAGTAACAGCAATAGACATAAAAAGTAAGAGATTAATGAAACACACAAAGCAAAGAAAGTTTAGAAGTAAAAGAGTCAAAGAAAAAATCCTATGTAAAGGGAAAACCCCACCCTGATATAAGAGTAATAAGTAATCTTAAAATCACTGAATTTACTAGCTTTTTCCCCCCTGCATTCCTCTAATCTGTTGATTTGTTTTAGGTAAAAATATTAATTTTGTCCCTGATTATAGTTTTTATATCTCCTCTGTTCTCAGCATCTCTGAATGCTGGGGAAGGTCACCGGAAACACCAATATTGACTCTACTTGATAAAACTATGAGAACGTATGTCTCAACTGTTCTTATTAAGTCTTTAGAAATTTCACTAGTGACAAAATATTCCAGTCTTACTACACCGACGCTGGGAAAATTTCATTTTCATAATTACCCCCTTTTTATTTTAGGGATATTACATCTCGTAAAAGGGAGACACTTACGCAAGTAAGTATGGTTACCTTTATCCACTTTTGTAGTTTTTATTCTAATAGTCTTTCTGAGATGCGAATAACTCATATATCTTAGCAAAATTAAACTTCATGCAGGCCATATATAATATTATATATCAATAAACTACAGAAACAGAAAAAATGTTAATTAGTTAAAAAATTAAATAATAAAAAAAAAGATGCTCACTGAGGTCAGGAGAACAATGCATGAACAGAATGATAGTTTCAACAGAAATAGAAAATATAAGAAAGTACCAAACAGAAATCACAGAGCTGAAGAATACCTGCACTGAAAAATACATTACAGGGGATCAACAGCAGGCTAGATGAAGCCAGAAAAAAGAATTAGCAAACTCAAACACAAGGCAATGGAATTCATCCAATCAAAGTAAAAAGAAAAAAAAATTTAAAAAGTGAAGATAGATTCAGCGACTTGTGGGACATTAAACAGACCAACATTTGCATTATAGGGGTCCTAAAAGGAGAAGAGAGAGAAAAAGGGACAGAACATTTATTTGAAGAAATAACAGCTGAAAACTTCCCTAACCTGGGGAAGGAAATAGGCATCCAGATCTAGAAAGCCTAGAGAGTTCCAAATAATATGAGCCAAAGAGACCCACACCAAGACACATTATAATTAAACTGTCATAACTTAAAGACAAGGAGAGAATCTTAAAAGCAGCAACAGAAAAACAACTTGTTATGTGGAAAGGAACCCTCCATAAGACTATCAGCAGGTTTTTCAGCAGAAACTTTGCAGGCCAGAAGGAAGTGGCACAATATATTCAAAGTGCTGAAAACAAAACAAAACAAAACAAACAAACAAAACCTACTAACCAAGAATTCTCTACTCAGCCAAGTTGTCCTACAGAATTGAAGGAGAGATAAATAGTTTTCAAATAGTTTTCCAGACAAGCAAAAGGTGAAGGAATTTATGACCACTAAACTGGCCTTCCAGGAAATGCTGAAGGGACTTCTTTAAGCTGAAATGAAAGTGCTAATCAGAAACAGAAAAATATATGAAAGTACAAATCTCACTGGTAAAGGTACACACATAGTAAAATTCAGAAAAATCTAATGTTACAAAGGTGATGAGTTAATCACTTATAATTCTAGTACAAGGGTTAAAAGACAAAAGTAGTAAAAATAACTACAACTACTATAATTTGTTAATGAATATGCAAGATAAAAAGAAACTGTGACATCAAAAACAAAACAAGTGGGAGGAGTAAAAATGTAGAGCTTTAAAATGTGTTTGAACTTAACTTGTCAACTTAAAATAGACTGTTATAGATACGTTATTTTATGTAAGCCTCATGGTAATCACAAAGCAAAACATTATAGTAGATACATAAAAGATAAAGAGAAAGGAATCTAAGCATGCCACTAAAAATTATCACCAAGTCACAAATGAGGAGAGCAAGAAAAGAAGAAAGGAATTTAAAAACAGCCAGAAAACAATTAACAAAATAGTAAAGAGTACATACATAACAATAATTACTTTAAATGTAAATGGACTAAGTTCCCCAATCAAAAGATACAGAGTGGCTAAACAGATTAAAAACAAAACAAAACAAAAAAAAACAAGACCAATGTATACACTGCCTACAAGACATTCACTTCACATGTAAGGAAACACATAGATAAGTGAAGGCATGGAAATAAATATTCCATGAAAATGGAAACAAAAAGAAACTTGGATACCTACACTTTTATCAGGGAAAACAGACTTTAAGGCAAAGACTCTAATAAGAAATAAAGAAGGCCATTATATGATAAAGGAGTCATTTCAACAAGAGGATATAACATTTGTAAATATTTATGTTCTTTTTTGTTTGTTTGTTTGTTTTCTCACAGTGCCTAAACCATTTTATTTTCCCACCAGTGATGTGATATAATTATTCTACGTACTCACCAGCATTTGATGTTGTCACTATACTTTTTATTTTTTTTTCACATCTTTATTGGAGTATAATTGCTTTACAATGGTGTGTTACTTTCTGCTTTATAACAAAGTGAATCAGTTATACATATACATATGTTCCCATATCTCTTCCCTCTTGCATCTCCCTCCCTCCCACCCTCCCTATCCCACCCCTCTAGGTGGTCACAAAGCACCGAGCTGATCTCCCTGTGCTATGCAGCTGATTCCCACTAGCTATCTATTTTACATTTGGTAGTGTATATATGTCCATGTCACTCTCTCACTTTGTCACAGCTTACCCTCCCCCCACCCCCATATCCTCAAGTCCATTCTCTAGTAGGTCTGTATCTTTATTCCTGTCTTACCCCTAGGTTCTTCATGACATTTTTTTTCTTAAATTCCATATATATGTTAGCATACGGTATTCGTCTTTCTCTTTCTGACTTACTTCACTCTGTATGACAGACTCTAGGTACATCCACCTCATTACAAATAGCTCAATTTCGTTTCTTTTTATGGCTGAGTAATATTCCATTGTATATATGTGCCACATCTTCTTTATCCATTCATCCGATGACGGGCACTTAGGTTGTTTCCATCTCCGGGCTATTGTAAATAGAGCTGCAATGAACATTTTGGTACATGACTCTTTCTGAATTCTGGTTTCCTCAGGGTATATACCTAGTAGTGGGATTGCTGGGTCATATGGTAGT